GCCCATCCTCGTCCCTCTGCTTCTACCCTCCCCCTCGTTGGATCTGCATACAAGTTTTACTAGTTATCTTTCTATGTCTACAATAACAGTCTTATGCAGTATTTGTCCTTATGGGACTGAGTTAGTTCACTTAGCATAATGTTCCCCTCCCAAGTTAGGTAGTGATTTTCAAAATTATTATCAGTGCATGCTGCGTAGTATTCCATCAAGTGACTGTACCATAATTTTTCAATCCATTAGATTGTAGCTGGACATTTGGGTTGTTTCCATGTTCTTGTGATGGTGAATAACGCTGCTATGAACATTGGTGTACAAGTCACCATTTATGCCTCAGTTCTCATTCTCTCAGGGTATATTCCAAGCAAGGGAATAGCTGGGTCATATGGAATTTCTTTGTTCAGCTTATTGAGGAAATGCCCCTGGCTTAATTTTTATTGCTAATATTGAACTTCTCCAACAATTCCTCTTACAGATGTAATCAATCTGATTCCTACCACAGTCCATGAAATGAGGTCTATGTGTAAAATCACTGATTGTATTTTTTTAAAAAAGATATTTGCAGTGAATAAATCATTGAACATACACAATTCGATCTTTCTATTTCCAGCCTCATTTCTGCCACCAAATATGTACTTTCTGACTACCACTTTTTCTTTATTGTTCCCAACTTTTGCATTCCAGTCACAAATTATTATGAAAGGATCTTGATTACATGTTTGGTCAATTTCACTGCATGATTTAGTAAAAAAAATTAAACCTCCCCCTTTATGGCACTAGTTGTGTTGTTATTAGGTAGCACTGAGTTGAGTACAGCTTATAGCTTCTTGGATAATTTGCTCAGCATATCGACTGAACAGGTATAGAGCTAGAATATATACTCTCTATATATATATCCCTGATATACTCCCTTCCCAATTCCAAACCATGCAGTGCTTCCCTGCTTGTTCACACAACAGCCTCCTGATCCAGGTACAGGTTCCTCATGAGCACAATCATGTGCTTTGGGATTCCCACTCTTCTCAATGTCAGCCAAAACTTGTCATGATCCACGGTAAACTGTTGGGGCATTTCTAATTGTGTCAGCAATCAAGTGTAAGCTGATTAACTAACTGTACCTGATCTCGTTTACAATCAGCTTTGATGGGATACCTCTGTGTGGGCAAATGGGATCTGCTGGGCGGGCCTTTGTATTTAAAAATGGGTCTGGTCCTAACTATCCATGAGCCATTAACTTGGTGAAGTTGGCTCCTATTGGGTAACTGTTTGTGATTTACTTGAAAGCTGGGGCACTAGCTATAGAAGTGTGTATTTAAATAACAGTTCCATTATTAAGTCTTCCTTGTATGCTTATGAGTAATATTCTGTCATTCAAAACACTGATCTTCAGGACAAAACTGGAAATTGTCTTTTTAACTATGAATGCAAACATCATTCTTCTGTTTTTCATTCCCAACATATTATACCATGTGATTGTCTCATTCAAAGTGGAAAAAGCTAGTCCACCTCATCTCACTAATACCTAGAATGTTGATGTTCATACATTCCATCTTATTTTTCACAGCTTCCAGTTTTCTGACATTATGCTTTGTGAATTCCATGTTCCAATTATGAAAGGATATTTGCCACTAGTTTCCCTCATTTTGATTGACTTCCAATCTGGCCTCTATCTCTAATATCATAGCTGTCCATGTTCCTCTACTATTCACAGGGTTTTCAGAGACCTATTCTTTAAAAAGTGGATGGCCAATGCTGTTTCCTAGTCTGTCTTACCCTGGGAGCTCTACTAAACCCTGTTTACCGTGGAAGACAGCATTTGGCACACCTGTGGCATAGCTTGTGGCATCACAGCAACCCACAAGTTTACTCAGTACAGCAAGCAGACAGACAAGTGCTGTACTAATTAGACTGATGACTTAATCTAGTAGCTATCAAAGCTTCCCCTGTATTAGTCCTGGCATCCAGAGACTGCCAGCTCAGGAAGGCCAACCTATGATAACTTCTGAATCATCACCTCTCTCCAGTGTTCAAGAAATGCCCATTCTCTTACTTTGGTGATGTGGGTGGTGGTTGTGGTACTGGTTGTTTCTGAGGTGATTGTCTGTGCACTCATCAGCACACCTGGCTCCAAATCAGCAGCAGGATCCATCTACACCAGCAAAAGGAGAGATACCACATCCAGATTACGGCACTATTTTGTCAGAAATGCACCAACATTAAGGAACTGCCATTGCTAAGCTGCTGTCTGGCTGTCCCCACTTCAGAGCTATCCCACACACACCACACCTTTCTTCCCAATCCATCTTAGTCTGGACATTGTACCAAACCCTATTTAGTATCACAGCAATGTGCAAAGTCTTTATTGACAGCCAAGCCTTTTATGTGCACAGGTTAGAAAAGAACTCGTATCTCTATATGACAGGGAGGACTTTTACTAATGAACCACCACTGCCCTTTAATTCAAGGCATGACAGTTATTTATCTCAACTAACACTGTGGTCTTAAATCAGCATCCTGGAGTCCTTGCTTCAGGTCTCATTTTAAAGAGGTTAATGGCCACAGTTAACAGTCATAAAAACTGGAGAAAAGACCAACAACCCAACTTAAAAAATAAATGGTCTGAGGATGGGTGCATGGCAGGCACATTAATCATAGAGTTGCACAGTTTGACGGGTGAGTGGGTGTAAAGGAAATGGGAAAGTTCCGGTGTGAAAAGCAATGTATATAAACTTTGTAAATAAACCAGTATAAAATAATAATAAAAAAAATTGTCAAAGGAGTTGAATAGACATTTCTCCAAAGAAGATACCAAATGGCCAAAAAGCCAATGAAAAGATTCTCCTGGTATATTATCATGGTTATAGTCATTAGGAGCTCTGGTGGCCTAGTGGTAAGAAACTGTGCTATAATCCCAAAGGTACACAGTTCAAATCCACCAGATGCTTGGTGGAAAAAGGATGAATAATCTCTTCCCATCTGATTTACTGTCTCTAAAAACCAGCTGGAGGGTCAGCTATGGGTCGGTTCTGACTCAGCCATACACAACAACATTAAGTCATTAAGGAAATGTACATCAAAACGACCATGAGATATTATCTCACACCGTCTAGAATGGCTATTAACAGAAAGCTGGAGGCTAACATGTGCTGGGGAAGATGTGGAGAACTTGGATCTCTCCATCTACATGTGGGAGGGTACGTAAAATGTCAAGAGTGGAGAAAAGTTTGGTAGGTCCTCAAAAAGTCAAACATAAAATTATGATGTGACCCAGAGAATCCCTTCCTAGGTATGTACCCCAGAGATGTGAGAGCAGCAACTCAGACCATGTGTTCAAATGTCCACTGAGGCAGCATTCCGAACAACACTACCATGATAGAAACAAAGTTCTAACACATGGTAATAAAGACAAACCATGGAAACATTATGCAGAATAAAATGAGTTAGACATGGAACCCAATTACATGGAATGTCTGGAATAAGCAATACACCAAGACAAAAAGGTTACTAGCCGTTACAAGGAACTTCGGTGAGGGGTACTGAGCTATTTTAGGTAATGCAACCTTTTTGGTAGTGAATGGTGGTGATGGTAGCACAATATGACGAATGTAATTAAGCCACAGAATTATATATTTAAAATGGCCCATTTGATAAACTTTTGTTATATTTTCCACAATTAAAAAAAATCAAGTTATATGAAATAAAACTGAGATTTGAGAACCATGAGCAATCAATGGCTGAGTTAGTAATTTTCTTTATTTTTGTCTAGTGAAATAAGTTTTGTAGTTTTTTTCTACACTTTGAGATAGTTATCTTATCACAGTTATCTGCTATTCCAGAATAAATAATAAAATGAGAAGCCTATCTAAAAAAATAAAATAAAATAAAATGAGAAGCCTAGTTGTTGAGAAAGCCTAAGTCTCATGAATGAAATACTAGACAAATTTGCACACTGCTAGTTGCTAGTCACAGTCACAGTGACCCACTGCTGGGCTCCCATGCTGTAGACCATAACGGGAGGAGGCTGTGCATCATTCTATCTCAGAACTTTGAACCACCGAAGTGCAGCCTTTGGTTAATTAACAGTGCAGCTTGTTTTGGCCACTTTACCATTATACTTAAACATAATAAAAAACAAGACTTTCTTACCTGTGATGATTCATATGTTATGGTCTTTGTTTCGGTATGAACTACTGGCACTTCCTTGGTAGAAATTTCTAGCTTTACACCTCCTGGTGAAGCACTGCCAAAACTGATGGTTTCAGTCTTCACAGTTGATGACTGCACCAATGGGAAGCAAGCAGAGTTGTTATGACAACTTGTACAAACACATATTCCACTCACTCAACCCTTTACCCCTGATGAAGATAAGTACTGATTACTATGACATAAATGCTAACAAATTACTTGGAGAGTAAGTTGAGGATGAGTGAGATACACATAGATACACCAAACGTCATACTTTTTTATATGGAATGCTTCACCAAAGGAAAGTATTTTGAAGGAAATACTTTAGGATTATCTTTTTATAGTTCTCCTCCTTTATCTCATAAATGAAAACTGATTAAAAACTACATCTGGTCCTTCCCAAGCTAGGTAGTAATATACAAAATCACTGCTTCTGCATGCTGCATAGTATTCCATAATGTGAATGTTTAATAATTTTTCAATCTATTTGGTTGGACATCTGGGCTCTTTCCATGTTCTTGTGATGGTGAATAACACTGCTATGAACACTGGTGTACAGGTCTCTGTGTTTCAGTTCTAATTCTCTTGGGATATATTCTAAGCAGAGAAATAGCTGGATCAGATGGAATGTCTATGTTCAGCTGTTTGAGAAAGTGCCAAACTGCCTTCCAGAGTGATTGCACCATTTTACAATCCCATCAACAATGTATAAGAGTTCTTATTTCACTAAATCCTCTTCAACATTTATTACTTGCTGTCCTGTTAAACTTTGCCACTGCTACTGGAGTGAGATGGTATGGAATCTTATTGTAGGCTTGATTTGCATCTCTTTTACAGCCAGTGATTTTGAGTGTTTTCTTCATGTGTCTGTTAGCCATTTGAGTATCTTCCTCTGTGAAAAGTCTTTCCATGTCTTTTGCCCATTTTGTAATCATGTTATCAGTCTTTTTTTCTTTTTCTTTTTGTGGAGGCCTTGTAGAATTCTGTAAACTTTTGATATGAGACCCTTGTCTGAGATGGGACTGGAGAGCATTACGCTAAGTGAACAACTCAGCCCCATAAGGACAAATATTTCATAAGACATTATTGTAGAAGGAGTATGAGGATCCAAGGGGGGGGGAGAGCAGAGGGCTGAGGAGGCGGGGAGTGGAGGTGTAAATCATAGGGTTGCACAATTTTATGGGTGGGGAGGTGACAAAAATGGGAAAGATCCTGCATGGAAAACGATGCATACAACTTTGTAAATAAACCAGTATAATATAAAAATTAAAATAAAACAATGTCTATTACTATTTCTTAGAAAGCAGAAAAAATAAAGCACTAGAATAAGGAATGCCTAGTGTCTCACTCATTTCTGACTCACAGTCAACCTTTATTTGGCGTCCAAGACTAAATCATAGCAGGAGAAGATTGCTCATTTTTCTCCCACAGAGCTACTGATGCATTTGAACCACTTGCCTTTGCATTAGCAGCACAACTTGCTATGGACTACATAACATGAACTTCCTTTAAATGGTTTGTTGTTATGTGCCATCAAGTTGGAAATGACCCATTGCTGACACCCCAGTGGGTTTTCATAGGCAGTAAATTACATGGGGAGAGACTGTCCATCTTTTTCCCTCGGAGCAGGTGGTCGATTTGAACTATGCACTCCTTAACTTGAACTATGAAGTCCTTACCTCTAGGCCACCAAAGCTCCCTTAAATGGTATAGGGAGCCCAATAAAAGAGGACTAACAATAAGCATCATTCTAGCATCTGGCACCAAGGCAAGCATGATCTTTTTGGTCCTTCTAGGTAAGTACACTGATCAGAGATAAATTTATGAAAGTTGAATATTTTAGCTGCCCCACATCCACTACCATTTACAGTAATTACAAGCAGAGCAGGCATCACTTCCTGGAATTTTATTAATCAACATACATGTTCGATGTGGTGCAGGAGATGAAAAGTAAATTTCATGGCAATCCCTGATAGTCATGCAAGAAGAAAACATGAGGAAAAGAAAGCTAACTGAAAAAAGCTACAAAATAAAACTCCTTTATCTCTTATATTTAACTTAGTTTAACAATAACAAATTCTCTGCTATAGAGTAGGTACCAATCCTGCTAACCCTGCAGCGAGTTTTCAGGGGCCGTAAATCACACAAGAGCCTGTCTTTCTCTCTCTCAGAACTGCTCTTGGGTCTGAACAGTCTGCCTTTGAGTTAGCAGCACAACTCTACCTACTGTTCGTTGTTTACTGAAAAGTCTGAAACAACCAATACCTGACCCTCCAGAGAGTTTTCAGAGACAGTTAATCAAATGGGAGGAGACTCCCTAGCCATCTCATGTGGAGCAGCTGGTGGATTCGAACCACATGGCTTCAGTATTTCAGCACAGCTTCTTACTACCAGGACATCAGAGCTTCCTTGTTTACCCACTAGACCAATTTAATGGAATGCTATCTACGAGCTACATTACTGTTAAAAGCAACATTAACTGCCAGTTACCTCAAAATGAGGCTTTTGGTCCAGAGTTTCAGGAACTTGGACGGTTGCACTCTGCTCCTCCTGCTGCTGGTGAGAATCTATAGCTGCTTCCTTTTGTTCAGGGATAGCTCTGACGGTCACCTCCATTTTCTCCTCCTTAGCCCCTGCCCTGGGCACAGTGCCCTCCTTCCCTTTGAGGCTTGAAGCCTCAGCTGCTGCCTGTGCTGCCACATCCCCATCATCTCCGGCTGCAGAAGGGCCGTCCCCGCTGGCGTGGACACTGGTCACCCGTCTCTCCTCCACTATCACAGTCTGCTGCAGCACAACCTTGTCAGTGCTGAGAGCTGATGGCTGCTGGGCTGCTTCTGCCTCCTGTTCACCAGAGTCAGCCTGTGTTTCCGTTTTCTGCACAGAAAGAAGTGGGGATTGTCAGTTCTCCTCACAGCACAGCTGAGGGGGGACCTCAAACTTAAGAAGCCATTCACCAGCAGCACCAACAAGAGCATCAAGTGTGTATCACCAGACTCTCTCTCACACACACACACACCCCCACACCCACACCCACACGAATCTATGCTGAGACGTGTGTACCCACAAGACTGTAGTAGAAAATGCAATTGAAAAAAAGGAGAGGGAAATAATAATAATAATAATACAGCACTGTCATACATTTGTACCGGATCTGGATGCTTTTATAGACACAAAGGATGAGACCAAATGCTTTTAAAAATTTTGAGCATGATTATCTTTTGAACAGCTGAAGTACATTCTTGAAATGAAATTAAAGGTGCATGACAGTTATATCAAGCAGACACAAAAGGAAATTACTAATGACAGTCTGGAGCCGTTACAAGCAAACAGGACATTAAAGTCATACACACACAATCTAAAAAGTATAAAGAAATGAAAATGGGCAGGAGAAACACAGAGGTCAGAGGTAAGCGGACACCTGAACCCAGCTTTGAGTGGAAGTGGCAACCCCTCCTATGAATTCTGTGGGTTTCCTCGCAGACTCTAACAAACTGAGGATCTCGGAGCCGTCCATCAGCTTGTCCCCCGAGGACTGTTTGGTCTGAATGAATCAGAAAAGCAGAGGCGAGTGTGAGAGGCAGACAGCAGCAGGCACGGATGGCAGACAAAACTTCAGGCAGAGGAAAAGAGCAGAGGGGTGAAGGAATCAAGGACAAGAGTTTGGAAATAGAAAAACAATGGGAAATAAAATAGCAAATCGAAGTGACCATGAGCTGTTTGGATTTTGGGGAAAGCAGAGAGAGTTGTCAGGGTCGGAGTGGAGCTGGTGGGAGAGGATGGCTGTCCCTCCATTGCAAAGCCACAGCCGTGCCATTCCATCTCAGGAACAGGGTGCTGGAAAACAAAGTGTGTCAACGCCCGCGCTCCACCGCGAGGCTGCTCGGACCATGGAAAACACAACAAGCTGGGTTGGCTGCTCTCAGCATAAAGGCAAGCGACAAGAGGAACAGGAAGGTTGAGGGGAGAAGGGCACTGCCTCAAAATCATGCTGGAAGCTCAAACTGTGGCCCAAACGGGAGCCCCTGGTTACCACCACTCGGGAGGAGGACGACTCAGTAACGTAATGGGCGGTGGCAACGGTAACGGCGGGCTCCTGTGAGTATCTCCACTCGGACAGGCTCTTCCTCCGGGGCCCGAAGAGCCCCACCTGCAGGGCCTCGGCCTCGCCCGCCATCTTGCTCGGCGCCATCTTGGCCGCGCCATGGAGGCCCAGGTCCCGGCCCCTCCTCGGCTCTTCCTCGGGGCTCTGCAGCCGTGACTCGGCTTCCCTGATGGGCGCCAGGGATTCGGACAGTCTCCTCTTTGCCTGGCCCTCAGGCGCCCGCTTGGCCTTCTCATCCCTGCGGGCCTCCAGGACCTCGAACTCCGCCATGCCGGCCGCCATCTTTGCCGAGTCCGGCCTCTGAGGCGGCCCCGAGGTGGGCAGAGTCGCGCCTCTGTCCCCGTCCTGGGCTTTCCCGGTCATGGTGACGATTTTTCCAGAAACAGTGTCATACGATTTCCCTAAAGTGTATATCTTCTGCTTGCCTTCTTCTTTGAGCTGCAGTTCTTGGGCCAAGTCTTCGAAGCCGAGCGTCTCGAGGGGCCCCACTTTGACGATGTCCCCGGACACATCACCACTCGTGCTGCTCACAGTCACCACCTTGTAAGTCACAATCTGCCTCGAATCACCACCGACTACCTCAGTGGGCATTCTGTCTACAATAACCCAGTCCTCTGTGGCCTATATTTGAAATATAAGAGCTATGTTAGAAATTCTAGTTAAGAATCCTCAAAATTACATCGGGGGTGAGGGGCGACAGCGACCCTTTGGGGCTGGGAAGGCACCGCCTAGGGCTGGAAATCCCTCCTCCTCCAAAACGGAGAAATCATGTTTTAACAAACATTCTGCAACACAGAGCTGCAGGCATGGATGCCTTAAAAACTGAAGCTATGCTGGTGGAGAATTTGGTACGAAAATCATTTCAGCATGTTCAAAACAGCACCACAATGTGGCCGCGCGCAGACCACTCACTAGCTTTACAGAAGAGGGTCTCAGGACACAAAGTGTCCCATTTAAACAAGGGAGGACTAGCCAGAGTCCCACAGGTTTCTATAGCAATCCTTCTCCTTGCTTTCCACGCAGGACAATGGTGCACAGGTGGGAACCCACCCCTGACCTGGTAGCCTATAAACACTTACCATGTCTGGTTGGATAAAATACTGTGATAAAATATTCCCACCACAGGGGACTGCTGTGGTCACTTACACACAGGTCTTATTGCTCAGGCAGCTGATACCTTTGCAACTGTCGGTAGTTTTTCGGCCACATTCTTTAATATTGGATCCAACAAGGCAGAAGAAATTGGACTGAACACACCTTTGTGTTGAGGGGTTCAAACAGCATGTGATCAGACAGGCCAAGAGCTGACCAGGTTATGGTGGACCAAGAAGTCAAGCCAAAAGCAAGCTAAGGGCCTTCCTTTTAAATGCCTGCATTTTAAATGGTAGCTTTTCTACTTTTACAATTATATGTAGCCAAAAACCTTTCATCTTTGTATCTTCGGGAAAAAGTTGACAGATTTTGCTACATGCTGGTCCTGAATGAAAAGAAATCAAGTGAATAATAACCTCTAGGGTGGAGGGGATGCCTTTCTGAAATATTACTTGACGAGAAGTAACCACAGACCCAGCAGCGTCTCCTTCATGCATTTTCTTTATCACACTTGGCTAGTGGGGGAAATAAAAAAACCAATAAAAATGCACAGCTTTCAAAAATCAAACAAGATCCTCTAAATTAGAACATCTTTATCTAGTTGAAATAGTAAAAAAAGTTTTAATAAATCATTAGGAAGTAGAATCAATAGATTTACAGATACCACCTTGAATGATAAACCATAAATAATTAAAAATAACAACTCTGTTAACTACTATATTAATAAAATACAGAAAACCTCCCCAAAGTTTAAGCAAATATTTACATACCTACCTGAGTTTTAAACAAAGTAAATTTAAGAAGGAAAATAAGAACTAAAGACATTTTAATGACATGAAGCCAGGAAAGCTATTCCTTATGTGTTATGCCTTGATGCTAGTTTGTTACCTGAGACTCAAGGAATGAAGAACTTCCTTGTTGCAAAAATATAACTTTCTCAGAAAGCTCTCTTTCTTCTTTGGTCTGTTTGAATAAAGGGGGTTGGGTTGGAGAAGAGGAAGTAGACAGTGCCCAAAAAGGAAAGTTAGGAAGAGAGGTTTTATTTTGATATCTCTATGTCTACACATACAGACACAGTCACCATACTCATTATTTTCTGAAGGAGTAAATAACAGTTTATTACTTTAAAAAATGATCTGAAACTCTCTTGCTGCACACAGATTGCTGCATTAGCCACTATCTGAATGAACCTTTTTTAACAAGGAAAATTTATTCTATTTAATAAACTTTATTAATATCTACACTGATTGTACAGTATAGATGTTCACTTTACAGGTGAATAAACTATAAATACAGGAACTCCTTTAATGTTGCAAAAAAATCAAAAGATAAGGTTGTTAAATTTTATTTATACTTATAACACAGTGAATAACAGTTAAAAGTAATTTTCAGAATTTGTATACCAAGTGTTAGTTTTTCTTTAACAGGGTAACATAGTTAAAGCAGAAACATTAACTATGTCACAGAATGGTCTATTTGTTACTTTTCAGTTCCATCTTTAGTATTAATAGGCATAATTCAAGTAGCGGCAGATCAGCTCTTTGGCCTCCCTATCTCTGTACAGCCTGAATTCCAAAACAGGGGCATGCAGCTTTCTGGCAGATTAGACAAATGAGAAAGAATAGAAAGTTAAAAGTTTCTGGAGGAATGAATTCTTTAGACAACTCCTAACATGGTCTGAATAATTTAATTGTAAAAACGTTATTTAAAGTTCTTGTTTGTTATTTACCTGCACAAGGATGCAGGGGGTGTTTCCTGACAGACCTACTAACAGATTTTTATGCCCCTATTAATAAGAAAGGGAGCTCGGGTGGCCTACTAACAAGAAGCTGCAATGCAATCTCTCAGGCAGCAGTTTGAGGCCACCAGCTGTTCTGCAGAAGAAGGTTGGGCAATCCCCTCTAGTATCATTAACTGCTTCTGATAACCTACCAGAAGGACAGCTATGGGTTGGCTCCAACTCTGCAGAAAATACAACAATATTAGTGATAAGGAGTTGTGCTGTCAACCCTATGGCAGGTGATTGGAATCCGCCTGTTACTCTGTGGGCAAAAGATGGGCAAGTCTCCTCTTATGTGATTTAAGGCTTCTGAAAACCCACTGGAGCTCTGGTTCTGATTCACCTGACAGTACTTCAACCAGAGTATTAGTAAAGAACAGAGAATTCTTGTCCAAAGGAGAAGACAAATACACGGTTTGACTATAATCCGGGGTCTTGCTCTCCAGTGCTGTCCCTCCACCTTACTGAGCATGATGTCCTTCTCCAAGGACCAGTCTCTCCTGACCACATGTCCAAAGTATGTAGACAGAGCTTCAAAAATCCTAGCCTCCAAGGAGACATTTGGTTTTATCCTCTCCCACATAGACTATTTGTTTTCTTGGTAGTCCATGCTATGTTCAAGATTCTTCTCCAACACAACTTGAAGGCATCAATTCTTCTATCATCCTTAGTCACTGTCCAGCTCTCTGATGCATAGTAAGTAATTGTGAAGACCAAGATCTGGATTAGGTGCACCTTCGTCTCTGGACTGGTATTGTTGCTTTTTTGGTACTCTGGAGAGGTCCCTGACAGCAAATTTTTCCAGCGCAACTCATCTTTTGATTTCCTGTCTGCTGGTACCAAGAGTTGATTGTGGAGCTGAGCAAGCTGTAGTTGTTAACAACCTCAATCTCTTTTCCATCTATCATTGTGGTGCCAATTGGACCAGTAGTGAGAATCTTTGTCTTCTTGATGTTAAACCTCAATCCCTATTGAAGACTAGTCCTTGACCTTCTACAGCAAGCACAGCAGGTCCTCCTCAGTTTCAGCAAACAAGGTTGTGTCATCTGCATAACGCAGGTTGTTGATGATGAGTCTTCCTCCAATCCTGATGCCACATTCCTCCTCACAAAGCCCAGCTTTCTGAATGATCTGTTTTACATATAGGTTGAAAAAGTATGGAGACAGGATGCATCCCTGACACACTCCTTTTCTGATTTAGAATCATGCAGTGTTTCATTGCTCTGTTCTGAGGGCTGCTTCTTGGTCCAAGTGTAGGCTTCACATAAGCATAAGCAAGTGTTCTGGGATTCCTCTTTTCCTCAAGGTTAGCCACAATTAGTTGTGATGCACACAGTCAAATGCCTTTGCATAGCCAATGAAACACAGACATTTCTTTGGTACTCCTGCCAACATCCATCTGACATTGGTGACAATGTGTCTAGTGCCACAACCTCTTCTAAACCCTGCTTCTATTTCTGGTCATTCTCTGTTAAAGTACTTACTGTTACAGTCATTTCTGGATAATCTTCAGGATTTTTCTAGCATGTGATATTAGTGATGTTGTTCTATGTTTCCACACTCTGTTGGGTCACCTTGCTTTGGAATGGAAATAAATATGGATCGCTTCCAGTCAGTTGGCCAGGTAATTGTCCTCTAGATTTCCTGGCATAATCTGGTGAGAGCATCCAGACCAGCATCTGTTTGTTGAAATGTGTTGATTGGTATTCCATCAATTCCTGGGGTTTTATTTTTTTTTGCCCCGTCCTTCAGAGCCTGAACTTCTTCCTTCATCACCATTGCCTCTTAATCCTATGTTGTTTCTTGGAATTCTTTTATGTCAGACAATTCTTTTTGGTACAGTGACTCTGTATACTCCTTCCATCTTTTTTTTTTAATGCTTGCAGATGTTAAATCTTGTAAGTACTGCTAATAGAGATATGAAAAGGTAATAGAAAATCTAAGAGTCTATATTTTTATTGTTGTTGAGTACCTTCGAGTTGGAGCTGACATATAGCTGACCCTCCAGTGGGTTTTCAGAGGCAGTTAATTGCATGAGAGGAGATTGCCCATATTTTTATTATGACCTAGAATATACTCAAGAGTGGCACAAAAAGCTCAATTCTCAATTAATGGAAACGTTGAGAGTTCAACCTCCTACCCTTAGTTGCTCCTGAGAAGATCTAGTGGCCTGCCTCAGTTACGACTACCAACAAGAAAACCTTTTGGGAAATTTTGTCCTGTCACAAGGGTTCACTATGAGTTAAAACACAACTTAGGGCACCTAACAACAGCAGCTGCAGCCAGGACTCTGGCTTGTACAAATGGTTAGAAACACAGTTTAGTTTGGTGAAGCTATTGATTCTAAATGCTGCCATTCAAAATGGCCACAACCTACTGTATTCTTGAAAAGCCTGGGAGGAGATTTTTTTTTCTTTATGATTGGTGGATATTCATTTAATGTTTCTGTAACTTAGTATCTTTGGAATATCACATTGTTGCTTACTTTCAGTAGAGATAGTAGAAATCCACAAGTGAAGTAAAACTTGATCAGTAACAATGAAACTCTGGGATCACAACCAGCAAATGGTTTTGTAAATAATACAAGTACAACAACAAGATCAATCTGAGCATCAAATTCTTTTCTCTTGAAAACGTGGGTGGAATTAGTGCTTAGTGATGCAGGAAGAACTCCAACAATACTTCTCATTTATTTTGCATAAAAGGCTTTTTCTGAAAGTAATTTAAACAGATATACATAACACACGTATCTTTGCATTTTAACTGGGACTAGCGCTGTCATGACCACAGTGAAAGTGGGATCTTTTAAGAAAAGGCTTTCAAAGGAAGTTTTTAATACAAGATTGACAATACATGTAACTCTATTCTTTTCACTATAAGAATATAAGCACTGCGTACCAACCACTCCAATAGAATCTTTTCTCCCCTGAGGCTCAAGTTTTAATTTTGTTGTATTCTCTCTTAGCACGCTAAATAAGTATTTTTCAAGAGGTCTTAATAAAGAAGATAATTTCTGCTGAATCAGAAGTGACTCATAGCTGACTCTCAAGTGGTTTTCAGAGGCTGTAAATCACAGAGGAGGAGAGATTGCCATATTTCACCTGTGGAGCTGCTGATAGATTCTAACCATGAGAGAGAATCACTACCAGGCTAGGAGTAGTATACAAATATGAATACTAGCAAGGTGCAATTTGAGAAAACTTTGTTTTCTCAAAAAAAAGGTTGAGAAAACTTTTTGTTTTGGAAAAGAAAGTAAGATGCTATCCAGCAGTAGGTAGATTAGCACTGCATATAATCTGTAGGTCCCATACAGGCACCATGGCAGCTGAGCCCTTCAGCTCCCTGACTGTGCATTTATAGAGCGTTTTCCTACAAGGAAGAGTAAGAGAGCCTTACTTAAAAAGAAATCTCTGGCCCTTAGTTTTGCCATTAAAATTCAGACAGGACACTGATTTTTCACTCAACCAAAAAACCTGCTATAGAATCTCAAATTTACTTGAAAACCCATCAACTTCAGACAAGCCTTCAACAGTCTCAATAGGACCCATCTAGTAACTGATGAGAGGAGAGTTTTCAGGATATTTATTGATGTAGTAGTAGAAAACACATTCAGAAAAAGACTCCACTCATTAGGACAAAGTATGGACTCCTCCCCACTGTAAAGGTGGCTCCATGGCTAGAACAAGCCAGTTTCAGTGGTGCCTCCCACTTGGGTGCTCACGGTCAGCACCTATTGGCCTGTGAGGACTCACTCCTGAGCCACCAGGGCATCCCCTGTGCAGCTTCCCCTGGAGGCCTGAGGCTCTCAGGCTACACATGGCCAGGACAAACTTCTCTACTTAGAAGCCCCCAAATTATCTTCCCCAGTTCCAGATCGTAGAAGAGAGAGATTTTTTAACAGAAGATGATACCAGCCCAAAGGCCCAGTACTGACCTCTTCAGGCACAAGTGGTTCAATCATGGGTGCATCCTCCTGCCTGGCGGCCAGTCTCACTGGGGAGGTGGAGAGCCGCTTCTCCCACTCATTGGCTATGGCAGTGTCTGTGGAAGTTTCTAAAAAGGTCCTTTTCAGCTCACTAATGTTGGTTTGGTGCTTCATCAGGTCATCTTGAGTTTTATCTAGCTCCTGTATTTAGAGAATACACAATCAAAAAAGTCAGTATTTTACTTTCTGCCTTTTTTCTCCTCTCTCTTTTTAAAGTAATGCCAGTGTCATTAGTATTTCAGGTAAAACAGAACCTTGGACATCAGCACTCATGACAGTATTACAAACACTCTGGTGAAAAGGCAGTATTTCCAAGGAAAAGAGAGGGGGGAAAATATTTAGTTCACACAAGCATTAAAACCAAAACAACCTTAGAATGTAAGTCATAGAGAACACAATTCACATATAACTAGAGAAAATGAAATGCACACACAGAAGAAGAATCTACACCTAGAGGGTAGCAGAGTGGAGATACCCTACCCTGCGGACAGGTGAGCACAAGGTGCATGCATCAAGGTACGAACCCACAGGTACATCACTGGGAGTCACCACACACCAACATGCACTGGTAGGCACCAATACCAACCTCTAACATAAGATTACTATGTTTGACATACACATTTTCACCCTTTATTCGCTTAATCAGACTATTCTGAAAAAAGTGGAGAAGAAAGGGAGAAGTAAGGGACATAGTCCAAGAAGGAACAAATGCCGTCTTACACTTAGCACTGTCAAGCAGGCACCTGGCATGTGCAAAAAGTCAAACATTGTACACAAACAAGGACGTAACACACATTGGCTTTTGGCTTTGCTTTTAAAAAATATTCTACCTGTGCTTTGATCTCTGCATCTTCCTCCTGGTCCGACTGCCAGCATCAAGAAAGAGTGGGAGATATAATCTTACCATGCTATTTATTCTGCGACTGAAGATTTACAGTGTCTAGATAAACTTGCTCAGTGTAGACAGCAGTCCATTTCTTACTCACAAACCACAACATTCTCATGCACAAATGAAGAGGGTTGGTAGGAATATATATGAATAAGAAATTCTTCACTTAGTAGACTGTGGGCATTTTAGTCTGGAGATTTCAAAATGTGATGACAAGATACAGGTGTGCTGTGAGATGGCAGGTTGTACTTAATGAGTGTTGGAAATGGTTCTGAAGGTGTGACGAGCCAGATTACAGTGACAATTCACAGGAATGGCTCTGAGGACACAGCTGGGGGCACTCTGATACTGCAAGATCCTCCTAATAACTCCAGCTCCCATCTCCATCTAGACAAGAGAACTGAGGGGCCATAAATTTAATGGAGCTCTCTTATTTTAAAATCTGTAGCATTTCATAAATCCATAGAATTATAAACAAAACTGGTGAGATTCAAATGGACTTAATAAGGAAATATTTGTGTTTTTGTTAATGACTGTCTTGTTCATAGGGTTGCTGTGAGTTTTACTCAATAGCACCTAACAACAACAACAGCTTGTTGAAAGTCAGCTCACTGCCTTCAAGTTGGTATGGACTCATAGCTGACCCTCCAATAGGTTTTCAGACATGGTAAATTGCATGGGAGAAGACTGTCCATCTTTGTCCTTTGGAGTTACTAGGGGATTCGAACTGAGAGACACCACTGTTGGGATAGCAGCCCAACTCATTGCAGACTATATATCACCAAAGCTCCCTGTTTAAAGATTAGACAGAGCAACTTCTGAATTGTTGGTTTTTTAAATGCAATTTCTGTAATTTCAGGGATTCATCCAGTCCTGGTCCTGGCATCTGAGTACCATTAACTTGGCATCAAGGACAAGGTGGGCTAGGCTGTGCCTCACTCCTGTCTCCAGTGTCCTGAGGGAAATCTGTCTGAGAGAAGTGAACACCAGCCTGAGTGGCCTTATCTGTCAAGGGGACATAAACTGCCTGCTCTTCCTGTGCATATGACTGCACTCTTGTTTTGCTGGCTACCTGGAAAGGAAGGTGGCTGAGATGTGTGAGTGAGTGCACAAACAGATAACTCTTAGCACTGGGGACATGAATTCTCAGCTGTCCTGGAGGTTTATAGCTGACCACTTTAAGTTCACATCATATATACACACACACACACACACATATATACATATATATTTAATATATTTAATATTTCACATGTTATATAATGTAAATTTAAAGCTTCTAATAAAAACAATAACATAGAAATGTATAGAATTAGTAAGATATTTTTAATTTACAGCATACATTAGGATTGTAGGGAAAATTTGTTGACTATTGAACCGTAGCTACAGGTAACCAATCTTACAAAATCAAGATGTCATAATACTCCACCTAGTAAAGGATGCTTTGGTATCAAGTCACATTGCTAGTTCAAAGGTTGGGCATCTGTACTGGTCTGAATATATCACAAACTCCTTGGAAGAAAGATGGGCTTTTTCGTCCCAGTATAATCTGTACCCTTAGCACCCCAACTGAAGGTCTCTCTGAGGGGAGGCAGCTCAGCAACAGTAAGAGTCAGCATAGTTATTTACTTTTGATAAATTTATGTATGATAATGTCAATGAATCTAGATAATAGTATTAAAATAATATTTCTTATATTTAAAAAATTACTTCCAAACTTTGAATTGATTTCTAGTATTTCCAAAGGAAGAAATTGAATAAAAATACCATTGTGAAATAATAGATACTGTCAAGTGAAATTATGCACAAATACTGTTTAAAACATCTTAAATTCTGCCTAAATAACTAGAAATTGTTGCTCTTAACATATCATGTTAAAAATACTGTACAACCTAAGGTAAACTTTATTAATAATGTTTCCTTAAAGAAGTAAAGGAGATCTAATAGCACAGAGTAGTCTCTTTTCTCATAGTTCAGCATGACCATATCTTTCTCCTAGAGAATTAATTTCATATGAATGACCTAGTTGCAACCTGACTTCCAAACTGGAGTAAGAGAAATATGATTACTTTTAACAATTTTCATTTGACAATGAGGATTTTTAAAATAAGTCCAATATCCAATAGAAAATGAAGCTGTGATCCAGATTCTCCATTCATCATGGATATTTGTATACAAATAGCCCTCACTTGGGGTAGGGAAAGACACTGTTTTGAAAAAAGATGTTTGTGTGTATATATGTAGTATGTGTGTATTTATAATTGTGGTGAAGTACATCTCAAAGGAGGGAATTTCACCTGAGATTGCTAAAGGTATAAATCCTCGAGTCCCACCCAGACCTGCTGTGTGAGAAAAGCTGGTGGGACTCTTTCATGTCAATCTCATTCTTTCATTTTCTTTGTCAAGGCGTGAGCAAGGGAACATAGTAACACCTACACTTAGAAGCTGGATCTATCTACACTCCCAGAGCTAATTTGCCTGTTGTTCAGTGCAGGCTCCCCAAACCAGCCGTTTCCTCTGGGGATCCCAGTTGCTGTGGTCTGTCTTGATACCAACCTCGGTGGCCGTTGTCTCCCCATCGGCTGCAGTATCCGTCCGCTCACTGTCGGTCTATTGGTCACACAGTGATGGGTTCCAGGAGGAAAGCACAAATAGAAAACAGACCCATCCTGTTACATGGGATATGGCACCACCCATAGCTCACTCCCTTTCTCTGTGATCTCCATCAGACTACCTTCCCACAAGGTTGTAGGTTCAAGAAAAAGCAAAAGACAGGCCAGAGCTGGGCTCACGCAACAGAGCAGACTCAGAGGAAGACTTGGGCAGCACAGCCTGCAGGGGCCACCCTAGCCAGACCACCCATCTCATTTCTTACCCCAGGAAAACCAATTGTCTTTTCCCCCATCCCTTTTAACTAAAATACCAAAAGAAGTTTAATGCAAATAAAACTGAGCTTAGGTTTATTTTAAAATTCTATCTAGATGTCCCACTGAAAGGTAAATTAAGAGGTAAGATTAAGTAAAATGCTACAATAACAGTTACCAGACTTTCAGCCCCTCATTTATACAATTTTGATAATGTAAATCCATTACGGCCAATCAGGATGTCTGCCCATTGATCATAAAAAACATGCCAAGAACCCACCAGCATGTTTCAGATATGAATAAACCCACTTTCAAGCAGTATTGCTAACTAGATAGTTTTTAGGACAGTATGCCAGAATTTTTTGCCCTGTTTGGTTCCAAAACTACTATCATACAAATGAAAAAAAAAAAGAAAAAAAAAAGGAAACTGAACAGAAAGAGACATCCACTTGGGAACAAATAAAACAAACCACAGCATTGATGAGCTTCAGCTTTAAGGAGAATGAGAAGAGTGGTCATTTTGGAGCTGGTTTTTAACCTGTTGCAGGAGGGGTTTATGATTCAGAATCAACCACCATAGTCTCTTACTGAGAAGAGAGCCCCCCACACCCACATTAGGACATCATGGATGCACTATCTATTATGAATGCTATCCCTCCACCCACAGATAGCAACCTAATCATGAATACAGTTTTCCTGATTGATGATGAATATTTTAAAAATGAAAACTGAACTGGGGCTTTAAGTCTATGAACCTGCCTCCTGAAATGATCTGTTACCCCAAAAAGCATAAGCGTCCAGAAGGGACAGTTTAGACAGGAAGCAAATCAGCATCCTGCAAGGTGACCTTCTTACACCACTGTAGTTTAATTTTATTTCTGAAAGGGAAGGAGTCACAATTGTGTTTGGCACAGTATTCTGAGGAAGCCACACTGGCAAGCTTGCTGCCACACTGAAATGAAAAGTAAATGTTAGGTGGCTGTCAAGGACGCATTTGCTACAAGTTTCATGACCCCATCACCCCATGTAACAGCTGTGGGAGCATAGGAGGAGCCATTGATTCTTCTTTTGGGGGTGGGGAGCACCACTGCTCACTTATCAGTGTGCCAGCCCCCACTAACAGCACAGGTAAAGATAGGTTTAAATCAGTAAGAGGAAGGATTATAGGTTCTTTAAAAAAAGAGATACAGGTTATTATTTAAGCTTAGAGAATAACTCAAAGAAATTTTAGACTTTCAAGAATAATGGTAAGCCTTGGAGTGTCATTTGGTTTAAGTGCATCTAAATTTCTTGAAATTTACATCAATAACTTTCTAGACCTTTGAATATTATAGACATAGACAAACAACAGTGGTTAATAGTGAGGGTCTGAAATTAACTGGCATGTACTCAAACCCTTTCTATTCAACCTTTCTGTGACTTGCCAGGAATGTGAAATATTTTTGACCCAGTTTCTGTCTCTGTAAAATGTGGAAAGTTATAGCTCTGACCATTTGGGGTAAAAGACACTTAAGTGTTTTTGATATAATGGCTGACATACATCTCAAAAAGACTATAAAAATTACAGTAAGTTGATGCTAACATATTATAGAATTAGTACAAAATTTTCATTATACAAAAAGGCATAAACAAGGAGCTTAGGTGGTACAGTGGGTTAAGTGTTGGGCTGTTATCCAGAGGTTGATAGTTCAAATTCCTTACGTGGTGCTCTGTCAGTCTATAGGTTAAAAGGCCAATTGTTTGAACAATATATATTTAATAAATGAAGAAATAATTGTTGAGTAAATGGTCAACACTCTTGGCACCAGCAGCCAGGAAATCAAAAAATGTATTGCAATGGGAAAGTCAGCTGTTAGGGACCTCTCTAAAGTACTCAAGAGCAATGGCTTCTCTCTGGAGACCAAGGTGTGCTTGATAAAGGCCATGGTCTTTGCAATCACTTGTTATGCATCAGAGAGTTGGACAATGAC